TTAAAATTCAAATCTATGGTCATGACTTACTATATTCACTCCCCTTTTCCCTCCAAAAAAAAAAAAATATATATCCATGGATATATAGATAGACATAGATAGAAAGAGATATGGAAATGGATATATACACCTAAACCAGGGAAAGGAGTTTCAAATATGAAGAAGACACAATCCCTGCCCCCAGAGCACCCGTTATCTCCTATTGAGGTGTAGAGAGAAGTGGCCGGGTCACGCCCTATCCACTTGTCCCTGATTATGAATCCATCGTATTGTATTTTGGTAAGATCTCAGAAAGTGTGTCTCATGGCAGGTCTAGGAGTTCAATTTAAGGCCATCCAGAGCGACCTGACCCTCTCTGTTTACAGACATAACTAAACACCGTAAGAGGCTGATTTGACCCTGGGTGCATGGGTGGAAATGTGAATTCGGGTAACTTCAGGATTTCTGGTGTGAACAGGAGTAGACTGGGGTGGGGGTAGGTCATGGAAATCAGGGTGTCCGTGGGCTTCAGGGTGCAGTTCACTATGGCTGGGCTTCATTTACCCCACGTCAAGCTTTCTTTCCTGTGGGTCCTAAGCTGTCTCCAAAAGCTGGGATCTGACAAGTTTGCATTTGATTTTTTTTTTGGCTGCCTAATGAACTGCCTCTGTAGTTCTAGCTGTGATGTCATTAGCATCTCATTGCCTTGGGCACCGACTCAGGAGAGAGATTCTTAAGCAGTCCCAGAATCCTACAGGAATGGTACCAATTTACTTCATAACAACTAATTCACCTTCATGACCTGTCAGTTTCCAGCAGCAGAGCATACCCTGCATGAGGATGGTCAGTCACTTTTATCATCCTCCTGTGCTCCTGAGTCTAGGTGGGTCAATATGTACATGCCTAAGGCCACAGGCACATCCACAAAGAGATTTTGAACACTGAGGATGCCAATAATCTCATAGCACAGTATTCTATTGGGGAAATTCATCCACTATGTGCTGTAGGATACAGATTTAGCCTAAAGCAAATGGCATTTATTTATAGCAGACTGTATTTGCAGAATGCTTTGCAGTTTTGGGGTTGTTAACGACATTCCAGGTTGGCTGTTCTTCTACTTGTAAGAAAACTAAGTGTGATGAGGACCCCACAGCCTCCCCTGAGAGCAGTAGGGTGAATTTTGCAAACGGGGCTGAGTAGGGGGGAGCACACTTGGGTATTCTTGGTCAGAAGTTACCTTTGTCAGTTATATTCTTTTAAGACCTTAATTGTAGCTTATTTTTGTCCAGAAACTGTGTATTTGTTGAAATAGATTAAGAAACAAGATAGTGTCTCAAATTACTAGAGCATTTCTACCCAGGATCTAGAGGGCAGAAGAGAGACAAAGTAAGAAAGGACTGTCATTGGAGTGGACATAGAAGAAGGTGGCCATTGAACCATAAGGAAATAAGGCAGAGACTCTTCCCTCCACTCTCCACACACAGACCTCGCCACCACCCACTCCAACACTGAGCTGGGGTTTAAAAGCAAATGTCAAAGCTCAGACTCTCCTGAAGCTTTTAGGTTTGAACTCTTTCCTCCCCACAGACACGTTGGTTATTGGTACTCTCTTTGGGCAAAGGGAGATTTATCTGGGCTTTCACCACTGGACTCCATCATTTTAAGGAGTATTTCCCGATCGTATCTTTAATGGCGCATGGAAAATGCATTTTCTTTTTGAAAAATCTCTCTCATACACACACGTCTATTCTTCGCTGGAGCCTGAATAGATGGCTTTGGGGAGTTAGCTGCTCATTACTTCTGTGTAAATCTCGCTCCTCTCTAGACAGCTCCATCCTGCATGATGAGGGGACCAGAGGGGCAATTCGTCTTGGCCTCCAGCAGGGCCTGCTCTGTATGGGCCTGAATATTATCAGGAGAAGGAAAATACAATTCTGATGAAAACAAGAGTTTGGTGGCCTCTCACCATCTTCCTCTGTAAACCCCTTCCTGTGCTTCTCTACGTCCTAATCTTACACCAATCCAGGGCTGAAGGATACTGAAGGGGATTAGTTGCATCTTGATTTTAATTGGGAAAGCCAGAAGACGGAAGCAAGGGGAGCAGCCCCTCAAATGTTTACAGCGATTACAAGCCTTAATGATGCAGCGCTGGAGGGCAGGGAGGCTGTCACTCAGCTCGACTGCATTTGGGGTTGCAGTGCCCTCTCGTGGCCCAATTTGTCTGTCAGATGGTGCACCCTAAGTGATGAATGGGCAGGGGTTGTATATGTCTTATATACGGATATGTATGTAGGGTGCGGGGGTAGTTTCTGGGTGTTTGGGGAGTGAAAGTGAGAGAAAAGAAATCTGGTGGCATATTATTTACCCCTTTAAGTAAACTATACTCCATGTGAAGGATATGGAGGGGGATATATATATATATATATATATATATATATATTTTTTTTTTTTTCCGGTACGCAGGCCCCTCACTGTTGTGGCCTCTCCCGTTGCAGAGCACAGGCTCCAGCCGCGCAGGCTCAGCGCCCATGGCTCACGGGCTTAGTTGCTCCGCTGCATGTGGGATCTTCCCGGACCGGGGTACGAACCCGCGTCCCCTGCATCAGCAGGCGGACTCTCAACCACTGCACCACCAGGGAAGCCTCTGGAGGGGGATTTTTATTTTCCCTTTAGAGTTTTATTTTCCCTTCCTTGTGTCTCTCACAATTATGTCTCTCACTCTATATTTTTCTCCTTAGGATAAGTTTTATGGATTTGTTTTACTCAGCTTTTTATTATTTGATTGAAAGGAAATTGTACCATGACTTTTTTTTTTTTTTTTTAAAGTAACCAGGTGTTATTTTTCCGTAAGTTTATTTTCTGTGGTACCACAGTGGCCACACCGGATTGATCACGCCTTTTCTTTCCTCTCACAGAAGTCATTTTAGAGCTGATATCACCATCTCGTGGTCATTTCATAGAAATGCTTCTTGCAACCTCTTTGTTGAATACTTTCTCACCCAGGAGGTTGAGATGACATGTGGATGGATAATGAAATGCTTGTGAGGGTCAGGAGGGCCAGCAAGAGACCCTCCAGCTCCCCGGCAAGGCTTGCACAGTGAAATGTTTTAAATCTTATCTTGAAAAGAAGCATGGTCTCTTTACTGATTTTTTTTTTTTTCATTTACTTCCTCAATGAACGAGGGCCTGTTTTTCTAGAAATCACATCATAGTTGCAAAGCTCTCACCCCACCCCTACTTATCACAGCCCAGTTCATACAGCCTGTTGAAGAAGATTGGAGGCCTGGCCAGGGGCTGGGTGAGGAGAGTCCTGCCAGGTCGTGGCCGCTTTACGGACCCTCCCAGTGGGGTTCACTGAGTTTCATGAGCCTGAATGTCAATCAGGATGTACACGTGGCTTGGAGTTGACTCTGGGGCTAGCTGGTGTGGGCTTCTGGACTTCCTATTGGAGGCCATCATTCTTGGTTTTGGTGTGTGCTGTCATGCAGTTCTCTTATAACCTAGCAAGGACTTGAACTCAATCTTTGATCCGTTATTACACAAAAGGCACGTGTGAAATTATATTCCATATTTATAGTTTCTAAGTGAGCCTTTGCCTTTGCACACAGAAGGAATCTGGTGTCAATGGAGCTGCTGGTAAAAATGTCTCATCTGCACAGTGATGATGCTCATGTGGGAAACAACAGTGCCGAAATGCCCCTGGACACTTCCAAACGGTGTTACATTACATCGCGAACAAGGGGAGAATAACAGTGCTCCCTGAGCCCCATCAGAGGGAACTCTGCTGTGAAGTCATATCTCACAATTACCTTCTGGAACCACTTTGCAAATCCTTCCAACCAGTTTCCCCAAAGATCTGGTCCCTCAAGCTCGGCACTCTTGATGAGCCTGAGAACCAGAAGGAACATTCTGTGTCTGCCTGTTGTTTCCAAAAGCCCAGCCATCTCCCTGAAATTGTTTCATGTTCGGGCATACAACTGTGCACAAAGGACCAGGGATCTCCTAAGGAACCCAAAGCTTTTTGTTAGCAGATTCTACTTCCATCTTTCTTTAGACTTAATAAATTAAATGAAAAATTATGAAGGCTTGGAAGAGAAATGTCAAGCAATGCTTTCTTCCATAGGGAAGAACTCTTCTGGTAAGCGTTTCCAATGTTTGTCACCAAAGATAAATCAAGAGCTTCCCCAAATACCTTTTATTCATCAATCAAGGGCAATGTGGACCCATCTTTCGGGCTTTGTAGTGCAAATCTTTTTGAAAAAGTCAAACTTCCTTCTGTATCTTTAATACATTGATTAATAATGAAGCAGAGAAGTCCTGTTATTCCCTCTGACTTAACGGCTTTAGGATCAGACAAGACTGGATTTAAATTTCAGATCTCACTCTATACTAGCTGTGTGATCTTGAGGCTCTTGGCCTCGCTTTCCTCATCTATAAAATGGGTGTAATGATAGAACTCATGCGGAGAGTTGTTATAGGGGTTAAGGGAGACCTTTAACAGATCTCACTTTCACTGTACAGACTTGATAAATCTTACTGATAGTTATGATTAGAACTATGATGATGGTGCTTCAACATGCACTAGCCATTGTGTTTTGTGCTCTAAAAATAGTTGGCTGTTTATAACCAATGCTAGAGGTAGGTATTATTAATATCTTCATTTTTGGGTGAAGAAAATGATTCATAGAATAATCACTGCTATTATTGTTTGTATTATTGATGACAGCCATAAATCCAGCAGATACAGCAGAAGCATCCGTCTGAAAGGATCCGTGGCGCTGATGATTCTCAGAAAGGAAGAAAGCCTGGTCTCACATTTGGAAGGGTCATTTCCAGCTGTGTGGGTTTCTGGGAGGATGGGTTCCCCGCATTGAGTGGGATAACAGCATCACATTCTTACCCCCTCAGAGTCATTTTCTGACCTCTCAAGGACTTGAGTCTAGCACTCAGGGGCCACGAGGCCATGCAAGTCCCTGCTCTTTCACCCCCCTCACTGTTCCTTTTTATTTTGTGTCTGCCAGGCAACTCCCCATCCGACGAGTCAGAGGAGCGGGAAAGAGACCCCAAGGTGCTGACGTTCCCAGAATACATTGCCAGCTTGTCCGAGTCTGGCACCAAGCGCATGGCGGCTGGAGTCCGCATGGAGTGCCAGAGCAAGGGACGGTGCCCCTCGTCCTGCCCCCTGTGTCATGTGACATCCAGCCCCGACACCCCTGCCGAGCCAGTTCTGCTGGAGGTGACCAGAGCAGCCCCCATCTATGAACTGGTCACCAACAACCAGACGCAGAGGGTAAGAGGCCTGGGACTCGGGGTTCAAGGTGGCGTCAGCAGCAACAAAGGGCTTTCCAAATGGCCTGAGGGGGCGACAGGGTCAGCTGAGCTCAACGCTACAATACGGAGAGTGAGCCTTTTCATTTAACTACTCCAGCCACCTAATTTGCTTAGATTTGCATTTTTGCATATTAAATCAAATCAATGCATCTGCAACACCCATGGTGATGACTCAGGAGTTACCGCTTGGCATTTGTACAGGTCTTTGAGCAACAAGGGCTGGAAGGAGGAAGGGAGATAAGGAGGCATAGCAATCACAGTCACCAGAGCTTTGTTCAGAAAGCCTCAGGGGGTGGTTGTGGGAGGGGACTCAGCAGTACCACCCCCTTGTTGGCCCGGCAGGTGGGCCAGCTCCCCTAACTGATCCAGGACTGGGTCAGCTAGGCTAGAAGGAGCACATTAGGTGCAGATCCCCAAGGGAAGGATCTGCCCACCTTAGTCTGGAGGGGGTTGGTTTTCTGCCCATCACTCTGACTCTTAAGAACAAAACTCCACGTCCATGCAGATCTTTCTGCCTTATATTATGCAGCTGGGTCATGACATTTCCCAGCCACTCCTCTTTTTCCTCTGCCCCTCCCTTTCCCAAGGTGCTAGCGGGAAATGAATGGACCCAAAAGGGTAAGCTAAATAAATGCAGCAGAGGCAGTGACTTACCTCATTTCCTAGCTCTCTGATCTTCTCAAGGATGTTAAGAACAGAGCGGGGCAAAACACAGACAACAACGACAACAATGACAAAAATAGAAAACACAAAAGCTCAGGGTGGGGGACTTCTGAGACTAGGCAGAGCCACTTTGGGGAAGAGATAGAGTAGAGTCACAGCAGTGAGCTGCTTGCCTGCCTGAGAGGTGTGTCTCTCCAGGTGGGGTGATAATTGCTTTCTCTTTTCTCTTTCAAGGGACACCTGGTGCATCACAGTTTGTTTCATAGGTGATGCTCAAACCAACAGGAGGGATTTTGCATGTGTGTGTGTTTCTCTCTCCTCTCTGCCTCTGCTACAGATACTTCATTGAATGTTTGAAAATAAGGTTTTTCACAGGAACAAAAAAGATAAATTGTTCCTTTGGCCTGAAAATTTCTCTTCACTCTGATAGAAGTGACTATGGGAAGAGAAGTGGGAGAGAAGAGACCACTGGAGGTGGGCTTGAAAGGATGATGAGAAGGAGGGGTTTGTGTCACCATGGAAACCCCAAAACTGCAGTGCTTTTAATCCAATGCCCAGCGCTCCCCTTACATGTCCCACTCTGTCTTCTGTGAGCACCCAAGGCTGCTTCTCTGAGCACCCCAGGAGCTCCTGTGCACTTGCCTGGGAGCAGCAGAATCAGGGAGCTCACGCATAGAACCATCCTATGGGACAGGGCATGCGAAGCTGCAGACAGGGAAGAGCTTGGCGGGAGAGGGGGGCCTGGAGCCCCTGCTTCCTGTCAGGCCAGTACCAGCAGAATGAGGAAGCTGAAGGAAGTCTTGTCTTTAGCATCGCCCCTTTCTGGATCCCCTGCTTGCCAGAATTTAGCCCCTCTCTGTCTCCCTGCACTGGTCTTAGGAGAGTGGTTGAGAGATACCTCCCATCTGGCCATATTTTGAACCTTTAATTTCTAAACACACAGAAAGGTGGCCTGAGCAGGAGTTCAGTCACCATATCTTCTCTCTTCTTCCTTAGACATTGTCTGTGTCCACCATTCCCTCCACTCCTCTGCTTTTCTTTCTAATTGTGCCCTTTCTACGAAGGAATAGAGATGAGGAGTGATGAAGCAAAGGACCAGTGGAGGGGAGCTAAGTCCTGGCATTAGTAACTCGCTGTGTTCCTATCCCTACCTGTCTGGTAGATCTTCAGGCCAGTTTTCCAACCTCTTGGCCTCACTGTCTTCCTTCTGTCGGACTAAATAATCTCCGATGCCATATTTCAGTCTAGTCTGTGATTGCAATTTAGAAACAAGTAGATCAAACCATATGACAAACCAGGTGTGTCAAACCCAACAAACTTGAAGTCACCACCTTCCACCCTAAACTATACCTGCTTGTGCTTCCACTTCAGTGAACGGCATTCTTTGCTACCAAGTTGCCCAAACTGGAGACCAAGGATGCTTCCTAGACCTTTCTTGTCCCTAACATCTAATCCATCATCTAGGGCCACAAATATCTCAAATCCGTCCTCTTTTTATTATACCCCCTGTCACAGCCTAACTATTTCAGTCATCTATTGTAATATCAGGCCACCATCTTCTTGTTACAGTACCTTCTTACTGGTTTCCCTGTTAGACCAGTCAGAGTCATCTGACTAAGTAGTCTTAAGGCTGATATGAACTTCTGATCATATAGCAGCAAGGTCATTCAGTGGCTCTGCAGAATCTATTGAATAAATCTAAAGTCCTTAGCACATCATTACAAGGGCAGTTCACGCTCCGACTTTGTCTTCGCTTACGTGGTTAGTCTGTACCCACTCTATACTTTATGCTTTATCCTCCAAAATTTAACTCCTTGTACCTCCTTAAACAAAACGCGTTTTCTCCCATGCATCTGGCCCTTCAGACTTGCAACTCTTTCTCCCGGAAGTGCCTTTTCCCACATTACTGCCACTGGCAAACTCTTAACTGTTACTTCCAAGTTTCAGCTCAAACATGACTCTCCCTTACACTCGCAGGCCAACCCGATGTTCCTTCGTGTAGCTCCCACTGTATACGTGCATACACCTTTTAAAGCATGCATCACCTACTATCCTAGTGTTTATATAGTTGTTCACTCTCCTCTAGACTGTGAGAAACTTTCTCTTCTATGAAATCCCAGTGCCCAGCAGTGGTCACACATAGTTGGCATTCTGCAGAATGAATGAACGAAGTGATGAATAAATGGACAAATGAATGGATAGATGAACTTGGCTTGAAAGTTCAGCTCCTTGGACTTCCCTGGTGGCACAGTGGTTAAGAATCCGCCTGCCAATGCAGGGGACATGGGGTTTGAGCCCTGGCCCGGGAAGATCCCACATGCCTCGGAGCAACTGAGCCTGTGCTCCACAGCTACTGAACCTGCGCTCTAGAGACCACAAGCCACAACTACTGAGCCCGTGTGCCACAACTACTGAAGCCTGTGTGCCTAGAGCCTGTGCTCCACAACAAGAGAAGCCACGACGGTAAGAAGCCCACGCACAGCAAGGAAGAGTAGCCCCCACTCGCCACAACTAGAGAAAACCTACGCGCAGCAACGAAGACCCAATGCAGCCAAAAATAAAAATAAATAAAATAAATAAATTTATATATTAAAAAAAAGTTCAGCTGCTTTCCTTAGAGAAAAATAATAAAAATTGGAAAATTCGATTTCTTTTCTGGAATCAGGATTAAATCTAATAACAAACAAGATTCCTATGGAATGCCTGGCACATTGTAGGTACTAAGAAAAATGTAGTTTTCCTTTCTCTTCCTTTCCCAAAGCGTTCCTTCTTGTTTCCTCTCTTGTACCCTCATCCTACCTACACAGTTACCTCTCGCCCAGGGTTTAGAGAGTAGGAACTCTCAGCGAATGGTCTGAAACGGCATTTAGAATGTTTGTCATCATATGTATTGTCATCAATAACTTTGGAAGGAAAATCTGATCGGGTTGCTCCCCTGTTTGAAACACTTTGATGGTTTCCTGTTGCTCTTAGAATGTGACACCCACCCCCACGTGGTGTCCTAAGGCCTTTGTAATCAGCCTGCCACCCTCTCACTTTCTTAGCATCTCTTTGCCCCTGCCCCCGCTCTGTCTCTTACAGCAAGATGAACTTTTTCTCAGTTGATTTTAGAAGTCAAGTTTCTTGCAGGCTAAAGTCTTCTTAATATTGGTTTTTCTACCTGGAATACTTCCCCAAGCTTACTCTTACTCTTACTCTTACTCTCCCCAAGATTACTCTTGACCTATCCCTCCAAGCTCATGGAGGCCTTCCCAAACTCCTCTGTGAAATTGGCCCCCTCCTTGTCCCTTCTGCCACCATTTCACCCTTTTCTGGAGCCCTTATCACAGTTCTGGTTATTTATATAACTTTTGTTTGTTTATTATTTAGCTGTAAGACTTAATGCAAGCAGGGGCCATATATATCTTATGCACTGTATCCTTGATGCTTAGGACAGGAAATCGTTCCTACAGGTACTTAGCCAATAATAGTTGATTGAAGACTGTAGGGCAGCAGCCATGATGTCTTCTTTATTCTGCTCATCTCAAAGGATGTCTGTTTTCCTAGTTAAAGAAAATACACCTTTTGATTTGAATTTGGTTTAGTCAGGTAAAGCATAAAGTGAGCACCTACTGTGAACTGGTATTCATCTTGGGAGCTGGTGGATACTATGTTAATCAAGAGAGCTTGGTGTTTCCATCAAGCCTGAGATGTAAAATCCGTCCTGTTACCCATTTACTAACCTGTGACCGTGAGCAAGTTACCTAACCTTTTGGACTGTAAGTGTCCTCCACTGTGAATCATGATAACTGTCTAACATGGAGTTCAAATTAAAGTGTTACTAAACCGAAGTCGGGTCTGCTCACCCACGCACAGTAAAGCCAATCTACTGACACCAGATTGTGGTGAAGGAAAATGCAGCGTTTATCGTAAAGGTGCCAATACAAGGAGGACAGGTGGCTTGTGCTCTAAAACCCCAAACTCCCCAAAGGCTTTCAGGAAAACAATTTTAAAGCCCAGGTGAGGGAGAGGGGTTGCAGAGTGTGTGATCAACTTGTGCACAGTCTCTGATTGGTTGATGGTGTGGTAACAGGCCAGTGTCGCAGGGGTTAACATTATCAGTCCTTAGGCTGCAGGAGGCCTGAGAGCTACTTGCTCATGGTCATCAAGTAGTTAACATCTTCCATTTGCTGGGGGGGTTTCGCATCTGTAAAACAACTCAGGAAATGTGCATCAGATGCTATTATCTAGGCACTTCAGAGAGGAGCTAAAGCAGAGGTATGGGGGAAGGGTCTGCCCCCAGAAGGCTCCATAGGGTCTGCTCCCTTACAAAAGTGTTAGCATTTAAAGGGTTTTGTCTCCTTAGGTAGGTTTATGCCTAGGTATTTTATTCTTTTTGTTGCAATGGTAAATGAGAGTGTTTCCTTAATTTCTCTTTCAGATTTTTCATCATTAGTGTATAGGAATGCAAGAGATTTCTGTGCATTAATTTTATATCCTGCTACTTTACCAAATTCATTGACTAGCTCTAGTAGTTTTCTGGTAACATCTTTGGGATTCTCTATGTACAGTATCATATCATGTGCAAACAGTGACAGTTTTACTTCTTCTTTTCTGATTTGGATTCTTTTTATTTCTTTTTCTTCTCTGATTGCTGTGGTTAAACTTCCAAAACTATGTTGAATAATAGTGGTGAGAGTGTGCAATCTTTTCTTGGTCCTGATCTTAGTAGAAATGGATTCAGTTTTTCACCACTGAGAACAATGTTGGCTGTGGGTTTGTCATATACGGCCTTTATTATGTTGAGGTAAGTTCCCTCTATGCCTACTTTCTGGAGAGTTTTTACCATACATGGATGTTGAATTTTGTCGAAAGCTTTTTCTGCAACTATTGAGATGATCATATGTTTTTTCTCCTTCAGTTTGTTAATATGGTGTATCACATTGATTGATTTGTGTATATTGAAGAATCCTTGCTTTCCTGGGATAAACCCCACTTGGTCATGGTGTATGATCCTTTTAATGTGCTGTTGGATTCTGTTTGCTAGTATTTTGTTGAGGATTTTTGCATCTGTGTTCATCAGTGATATTGGTCTGTAGTTTTCTTTTTTTGTGACATCTTTGTCTGGTTTTGGTATCAAGGTGATGGTGGCCTTGTAGAATGATTTTGGGAGTGTTCCTCCCTCTGCTATATTTTGGAAGAGTTTGAGAAGGATGGGTGTTTGCTCTTCTCTAAATGTTTGATAGAATTTACCTGTGAGGCCATCTGGTCCTGGGCTTTTGTTTGTTGGAGGATTTTTCATCACAGTTTCAATTTCAGTGCTTGTGATTGGTTTGTTTATATTTTCTATTTCTTCCTAGTTCAGTCTTGGGAAGTTGTGCTTTTCTAAGAATTTGTCCATTTCTTCCAGGTTGTCCATTTTTATTGGCATATAGTTGCTTGTAGTAATCTCTCCTGAGCCTTTGTATTTCTGCAATGTCAGTTGTTACTTCTCCTTTGACAAAAGACCTATATGCAGAAAACTATAAGACACTGATGATGGAAATTAAAGATGATACAAACAGATGGAGAGATATACCATATTCTTGGATTGGAAGAATCAACATTGTGAAAATGACTATACTACCCAAAGCAATCTGCAGATTCAGTGCAATCCCTATCAAACTACCAGTGGCATTTTTCATAGAACTAGAACAAAAAATTTCACAATTTGTATGGAGACACAAAAGACCCGAATAGCCAAAGCAATCTTGAGAAAGAAAAATGGAGCTGGAGGAATCAGGCTCCCTGACTTCAGACTATACTACAAAGCTACAGTAATCAAGACAGTATGGTACTGGCACAAAAACAGAAATATAGATCAATGGAACAGGATAGAAAGCCCTAGGTAAACCCACATACATATGGTCACCTTATCTTTGATAAAAGAGGCAAGAGTATACAATGGAGAAAAGACAGCCTCTTCAATAAATGGTGCTGGGAAAACTGGACAGCTACATGAAAAAGAATGAAATTAGAACACTCCCTAACACCATACACAAAAATAAACTCAAAATGGATTAAAGACCTAAATGTAAGGTCAGACACTATAAAACTCTTAGAGGAAAACATAGGCAGAACACTCTATGACATACATCACAGCAAGATCCTTTTTGACCCACCTCCTAGAGGAATGGAAATAATAACAAAAATAAACAAATGGGACCTAATGAAACTTAAAAGCTTTTACACAGCAAAGGAAGCCATAAATGAGACAAAAAGATAACCCTCAGAATGGGAGAAAATATTTGCAAATGAAGCAACTGACGAAGGATTAATCTCCACAATTTATAAGCAGCTCATGCAGCTCAATAACAAAATAACAAACAACCCAATCCAAAAATGGGCAGATGACCTAAATAGACATTTCTCCACAGAAGATATACAGATTGCCAATAAACACATGAAAGGATGCTCAACATCACTAATTATTAGAGAAATGCAAATCAAAACTCTGATGAGGTATCATCTCACACCAGTCAGAATGACCATCATAAAAAAATCTACAAACAATAAATGCTGGAGAGGGTGTGGAGAAAAGGGAACCCTCCTGCACTGCTGGTGGGAATGTAAATTGATACAGCCACTATGGAGAACAGTATGGAGATTCCTTAAAAAACTACAAATAGAACTACCATACGACCCAGCAATCCCACTACTGGGCATATACCCTGAGAAAGCCATAATTCAAAAAGAGTCATGTACCACAGCGTTCATTGCAGCTCTATTTACAATAGCCAAGACATGGAAGCAACCTAAGTGTCCATCAACATATGAATGGATAAAGAAGATGTGGCACATATATACAGTGGAATATTATTCAGCCATAAAAAGAAATGAAATTGAGTTATTTGTAGTGAGGTGGATGGACCTAGAGTTTGTCTGTCATAAAGAGTGAAGTAAGTCAGAAAGAGAAAAACAAATACTGTATGCTAACACATATATATGGAATCTAAAATAAAAATTGGTTCTGATGAACCTAGGGGCAGGAGAGGAATAAAGATGCAGATGTAGAGAATGGACTTGAGTACATGGGGAGGGGGAAGGGTAAGCTAGGACGAAGTGAGAGAGTGGCATGGACATATATACACTACCAAATGTAAAATAGATAGCTAGTGGGAAGCTGCCACATAGCACAGGGAGATCAGCTCCGTGCTTTGTGACCACCTAGAGGGGTGGGATAGGGAGGGTGGGAGGGAGATGCAAGAGGGAGGAGATATGGGGATATATGTATACGTATAGCTGATTCACTTTGTTATCCAGCAGAAACTAACACACCATTGTAAAGCAATTATACTCCAATAAAGATGTTTAAAAAAAAATAGGGAAAAAAATAAATTAAGGGCTTTGTAAACTCTAAAGCTCTACGCAAATCCTAGTGATAACAGAGAATCCCTGCTCCCTTGAGGCTCCCAGTCCAAGGAGGGGGGCTCAGTATGGACTTTATGTCATCTCTTCTAACCTGGGATGGATGGGACATAGGATACTGGCTTTGGACATGTTGATTTTTGTAGGATTATCTCTTCTTTTTCTTATCGTCTTCTCTTTTTTTCTTTCTTTTAATTGTTTGGCCTAGAACTTTCCAGGATAGCTGTTTCATTTCTCTAATTTATCCATTATGTGTGGGTGTGGTGAGGATGAAACAGAGTGAAGAGAATCAGAGGAAAAGCAGAGGCTGCAGAGGTTGAGTTGACCTGGAGAGAAAGCCCTGAGCTTGCCCTGCGGCTGTCTCAGGCTCTCCCCCACCCTGGGCTGGGGTTGAGGCAGCAGGGCCTCACACAGGGCTCAGTGCCTGTCAGGACCCAGTTCCTCACCAGGGACTTGCCCCTCTCATAAGTTCTCTTCCCTCAGTGATCTAATTTTATCTTGTTGTCCTTTAATTGAATAGTGAATATCTGCTGTGAAACCACTGTATGTAGAGAATTACTCTAGGTTCTATGTTATTAACAAGCTTCCACACAAGACGCAACCCTGTCATTCAAAGACAATAACAATTGCTGTTATTTATTGATGGCTAACATGTACTATTTATATACAACTAATGTGTGCATAGCATAGGCACTATGCCATGCCCTTTGGCATGTGTTTATTTCATCTAATTGTCACAACATCCTTATAAGGAAAGTGCTGTTTTTGTCCCACTTTACCATTGAGGAGCCTGAGTTTATGTAATTTGCCCAAGGTCACATGGCAGTGGTTGGCAGAGCTGGAGTTCTCACCTAGAGGGACTGCCCCAGAGCACAGCTCTTAGCCTGTGTGTCACGTGGTTTCTACCTTCTACAAGGAAAGAGAGGTCTAATGCATAATCACAACCCAAAGCAGAACTGCATAAATATCGTAAGTGAGATACAAAGCCTGCTGAAGGAATGCAGAGGAAATACTGGGGCAGGGTGAAGAGTGCAGAGAAGGATGCTGGGAGAGGCATCTGAGAAAAGGCTGAGTGCCTCTGGCCTGGGGGAGAGTGGTCAAGACTGGCCCTGCTGAGCATATGGGGAAGAGGTCATGTCTCTAGAGCCCTAGGTGTGGAATGATGGTGCGGAATGGGAGGGAGGGAGATGCGAGGTGGAATCAGACTTGATTCCAAGATGACAGCCCTCAACCACAGGGATGAACTATTATGCTAATGAGACAGAGACACCTTACGGGGTCCTACAGGGTCCAGGCTCCCCAGAAACACTTTTCTGGGGTAGAAGTAAATGGAGACGTGGTGCTACAGGCTGCTGACTGGAGTTATTTAGGGCCAAGCAGAGCCCTGATGCTCTGTCTAATTACTCTGGGGACCCAGCCCTGGCTCCCTGATGCTTACTCTTTTCTCTGCCCTCTCTTGCAGCTCTTGCTGGAGGCCACCATGAGCTCCCTCTGGTGCTCCGGGACCGGAGATGTCATCGAGGACTGGTGTCGATGTGACCCCACTGCTTTCGGAACTGATGGACTCCCTGCCTGTGCGCCTCTCCCACAGCCTGTGTACGATTCCCTTTCTCGGCCTTTCTCTTGCTTGTGTGCCTCGCCATTATTCTGCAAACATATGTTAAAGAGTGTCTACTCTTTTCCAAGCCATCGGCTGGGTACTGGGGAACAGAAAGAAAAATATGGTGCAGTACCTGCCTTAGGGGTGCTTTCAGTCTTCTAAGGAGGCAAGTGAACCAATTTAACGGTAGCAGAAATGGTAGGATAAAAGTTATATGAGACATTTAAAGACAGTGTGAAAAGGGAACAGTCAAGTCTGAATTTGAAGAATAGTGAAGGCTTCATAAAGGACATAGCACTTGAATTTCTCCCCAAAGGTGGAGAAAGCAGGACAGCATGGCTAGAAGAAAAGAGGGGTAAATGTAATGTTGCCGTGGAGGAAGATAGAGGTCAGTAATAAGACCCAGGACAGCAACACACTTACTGGGTGTCGGGCACAGTGTGAAGCAGTTAGGTACTGTTATCACCACCACCACCCCCTTTAATAGACAGGGAAATGGATTCAGATGGACTGAATAGTTTTTCCACGGTCATAGAGCAGGAAGCAGGGCCACAGGTAAGAGACCGTGATCTTAACCATAATAGTATAATACACAGAGGATACAACTCAGAGATGACTTTGGGTAGAACCAGCAGGGTTTGGTGACTGACTGACTGTGGGAGTGAGAAGGAAGGAAAAGTGGAGAATGGACTTAAGACTTATGACCTCAGTGGCTGGGACGATGAATAGGCTACAGCTGAGAAAAGAAGCATCCCAGGATAAGCAGGCTCGAGGAGGAGGTTGGTTCCCTTTGGACCTGCCTGAGAATTATAGTGGGGCAGTCCTGTAGAGATAGTCAGCGGTCATGAGGAAAGATGATCTGGGGCCCTACAACAAAGTAAACACTCGAGATAAGAAGATTGAACTCAGCCCCAAAGAAATGAGAAATGGAACCGCAGCTATGAGAAAGGATGCTCCAGAATGACGGTCATCTGGGAAGAGCAGAAGGTCAGGGATGTGCATTAAGGGGCATCTGCATTTGAGGGGTGAACAAAGTACAGAGGGCTGCAAAGATGGCTGAAAATGAACATGTCCAGTTTTCATACACTCAGAGGAAGGCTGAACAGAACTGGCTGAACTCATGTAAAGGGCAGGAAACCCTGTTGGCCTCGAATGTGGCATCTGCCATGGGCGTGAAGCACAGAAATGTTGTGTCTAATAAAGAGGGATGGTGGGACGAGCTGGAGGGGCCTGGACTGGTAAGGCAAAGAGAGCCCAAAGGGAGGATCCTGACTCAGCGACTGGAGGGCTGAGTAAGCAGGAGCCAAATGGCAGTAGGAAACCAGCAAGCGAGAGGCTGGTCTGTGTGCATACTGCTATCTGGTCTGTTCCGTGAAAGTGTGGGTGGGCCTTAAAGGGCCAGGACTGAGCAGGAAGAACATTGAGAAAGAGGAGAGCACAGTGGTACAGGGTCATCACAAGCCAATGTCTTCTTTTGTCTACAGGCCTTCTCTATGTGGGCCATTTTAGACACGCCAGCCATTGGCTTCTTGCTCTTTACAGCCATGACTTAGATCTCTCAGCTCAAAAGAGAGTCAAGCTCATTATTAGTGAAAGGTCTTTCTTTTGGCAGAAAGGCAACTCTAGAAGATGGTGCTTCTAGACTGATTCACCAGCTAAGAGAGCTACCTTTGACACACAACACTAAATCGGGTAGATGCCAGATCTAGCCATTGGTGTCCTGGGGCTGATTTCATTTCAAAATCTGCATTTACTAAGTGTCATAGCAAAAGAGATCTAATTGGGCTAAATTTCCATAAACAGGAACATCTACAAAGGACTTCACTTTTCTTGTCAACTTTAATCACTTCTTCCAGCAGCAAACCGTAATTTCTTGAATTTTTATCGGTAGTTGGATATAGGAATGCACTCTAGTTTTACACAAGCCTGTTTAAATCATACACACTCCTATTTCTCAGTAGAGGCCAGCCTCAGTCCATGTTTTCATGGAATCTGAGTTCTCAGTAAGGCTTAGTTACTTACTTAATCTCCCTAATGCTTTTTTCTTCAAAATAGCCCTCTGCATGTGATTCTAATTAATGAATATCTGCACTGTTTTGGGTCCGTTCCATCTTTAATGTCATATGCAAACTATGCACTCCTTCATAGTAAGCCACTAAAGAGCATGTGGTTTGTGTTATTTTCCCACCAGTTGAATTCCTTACTGTTGCTCCCACAGCTTCCCATGATGTCTTGTTAAAGTTCTTATCACACATTATTACAATCCCATGCATAATTTGTATGTTGGTCTAGTGACCACTCCATAAAAGAAGGGGCTGGAGTTGGCTTTTGCACCAGTGCCTCTTCAGCACCGAGCACGTTCTTATAAGTAGTGGGTGCTTAATAAATATTCGTTGAATTGAAGTTGAGCATTGCTTTGATGGGATCCATCCACAGTACCTTGCCTGGGGATCCTTGAGACCAGTGACACATCTGGTGAGCTGAGTGGAGGCTAGAGCACCAGGATTATGGGTGGTCATGAGATATGGGAGCGAAGGTTGGGAATGAATGGCAGAGACTCATGTAAGGGAGGGAGGCTGGCGTGAGACAAACAGGGAAAACTCCCTAAAGCCAGTGGTCTAGGAAGAAACGGGACAAGAAGCAAGCGGGAAACCTAACACACACACATGATGTCAGAACAAGGCAGAGAGTTGAAACCTCCTGGATCATTAGAAGATCCGTGCCAATGAATGTTAATAGTGTTTGAGTCTCTACAATAGTGTTCATTGAGTCTCTACAAGTATAAAGAGTTATGAGATGGCAGAGTGGTCAAAATGGACAATTTACATGACACAAGGAGACAATGAATTGGGAAAAGCAAGGAAAGACTATAGAGTCTGGAATCAGGATATTCATAGAAACCCAAGAGTAAAGACAGAAACTGAAATCAGAACCTGAGTGTGCAGACATAGGACAACGCCCTGAGGAGAACTTGACATGTGTCCAACTTTCTCTGGCCCAGTAGAGCCCCCTATGAGCATTACCTGCAAACTGAGCGCACGTTAATACCCGCAGCAAGAGGGGAAGCCAGGGTTCCGCCAGCAGGGCAATCCTGTAATGTTCTCGAAGCTGAGCTGACTGTCCTTCTTAATGCAGAGCTCTCCCAGACATCACCTTTAGTAGGCCTTGGTATGAGCATTATAGGCACATTTTCTTATTTTTCAAGAGCAAACCCAGAAATTACATTTTCAAGCCCTGTAAAGTGCTACTCCAAAGGCCCCATCCACTAACCCTGTAAAATGCAGGCATCCATTCATCTTTGACTCACCTGCTTATTTACTTATTTACAAATATATGTTGAGTTCCCAATTTGTGACAGGCACTTAGATGAACAATATATAGACTTTAAGGATCTTCAAGAACCTTTATTTTACAGTGAAGGAGACACACCCTCAAAGAAATCATCCTAGTGGTTGGTTAAGAAAGGTTAGAAAAAAGAGTTCACGCTATAATAATAATTGAGAAGGTGGCCAGTAGTGGTATTGGGGCTGGGCCCCCATTTCATGTTTCTTGCTGTCTGCACTCAGGCTCAGACTCTCCACGGTTCATGAGCCCAGCAGCACCCTCGTGGTCCTGGAATGGGAACACTCAGAGCCTCCAATCGGGGTGCAGATTGTAGATTACCTCATCCGTCAAGAAAAGGTCACTGACAGGATGGACCACTCCAAGGTGGAGACAGGTGAGCATCTCCCGCTTCACAGGCTCATCTTGATCCAGGTGGCAAAAAGAAAAGGAAAATGTCCTGCCTCCTGGCTTTGCCCTGGGTCCCCAGGCAACGCAGGAGGAGCAGGGAGAAGCAGCGGCCATCCTTTCCATTTGAGAGTTTTTGCATGGTGAGCATCTGACAAAGTCTTGTTTTAATTTTGTTTTTGTTTATGAAAGAGGTGTCCATTTCATTGTCTCTAGGCACACAAAGAAACAACAATACAGTACGCTAGTTATCCTGGCCCATAATTAGGAAACAATTCTGTGTTAACCACTGCCATGATTACAGAACAAAGTTTCTTTGCTAATAACCCCAACTCCCCGCCCCATCCAGGCAAAAGCATGTAGAAACAGATGTGCTTATTACCCCATGTCTTGTCCTAAAGCAAACCTTGCTTTTGCCAGGTACAGCTAGAAGAGAGATGTCTTAAAGGAGTGGAAACACCCCATGAAAAATGTTTCATGCCTTAGTATTTCACTGTCTACACATAGGGAAAGGTGAACGTAAATCATTCCTAAAACTGACGCATGAGTGTGGGCACCAGCAGGGTGGTAGCATCCACAGTGTAGTGCAGGGTAAATAGCTTCTGGTGAAACTATCACTGTGGCTTGGAAACATACGCACTGCCTTTGGGCTTGGAGAGCTGGCTACGGCTTCTTCCGAGGCTCTTTCCTGATGAGCACAGGTACTGCAAAGGTCTGGCAATGACCATTGACCAGAACAGCTGTTTTCTGCCCAAGCCAAGAACATGTCATGAAAGAGCTCACAGATGTGCTACGTACATCTTGCCTTGGTTGTCTCAGCTAACTCTGGACAGATGGCTCCAAACTGATGAAATATGAAACAGAAAAGACCATTCCTTCTGGGTCTCTTTGCCCTACTAGGAAGATGAGAAGACCAGGGACCGAGTGATTTTAATGTTAAGTTCTAACGGAGTCAGTCCCAACCAGGTGTTGCTTGGCCATCCCTGTTTCTCATGCCTTTTCCATTCCTTCCCCTCTGGGCAGAAACGGTGCTGAGCTTTGTTGACGACATCATCTCCGGAGCGAAGTCTCCTTGTGCGATGCCCTCTCAGGTCCCGGACAAGCAGCTCACCACCATCTCTCTGATCATACAATGCCTGGAACCTGACACCATCTACATGTGAGTGACAGACACCTGTCTAGTTATTCCTTACCCTGAATGCCCTCAGACTTTTAGCTGGTTCCTTTTAGCTACTAGAGTTCCTTTAGAGACTTCGAAAAACATGAGTGTCTCAAGTCTTGTCTCAATCAGCATTATAGAGAACCTTCTCGGTACTGGAGGGGGAGGACCAAGAAAGATAATATAGTCCCATCCTAGTTTGCATCCTAGTTTGCAACATATAAACAACTAACGTTAACATCAGGCAGATTGAAATTAAAGCTAGATGTAAAAGAGCAAGGAACCTGTTGTAGAAAAGAAAGAAGTGATTCTTTCTAACTAGAGAGGACGTCATCTGAATTAGGTTGTGTAGAATTTCAGTAGGAAGCATAACGTTGGAAAAGGCACACTGGGTGAGCGGCGAGTAGACAACAGGGTAGAAGCAGATAGTGAATAAAGGGGATAGAAGAAAGTGAGCTTGAGAAAATAGAGTGAATGCTGTTAAGTCAGAGGAGATAATTAATTTTGTTTTGGAGGAAAGGAGTAGAATACCAAGAATTCTGCTCTAGTGGCATTGAAATAGATAGTTTATAGAGGTGAGAGATGGTCTTTCTTCAAAGAAAGTACAGCGAGCTCCTGTATTGTGGCACTTGGAACAGCTCTATTCTTTCTGGTGCTCTTCCCCGTTTCCCTCGGTGCTCTGGGAACAACAGTAAAGTATTCACGAAGCAGACATAAAAGATACCAAGAGAGGAGAGATAGTGATGGAATCTAAGTCATGACGGGAAAATTGCGGGGTGGGGGGCGAAGGCAGAATTCATAGCGATGTAGTTCTGGGACTCTTTGACCCCATCAGTATGAAAAGCATTTAACAGTTTACAGATGAGGTCACGGGAACAGAGTCAGGGTTTCTGGAATAAATCATTTCCATTTCCATAGTGGAAGAGTTCAAAGATGAAAAGCACTAGAAATGTGAGTGGCATGGATTGCAAGATGAACTTAGATGCTCAGGCTGAATATCTTCAGTACAGGAAGGAGATGTAACCAAGGGGCCAGGCTGATGAAAGTAAAACACATAAAGACAAGTGGTATTCTGGAGGGGTTGGAAAATATAGAGAGACATAAATGATAATAGTAGGACGAAGGAAAGTCTACTTAGGATTCTCATCAGCTGGCCTGAGATTTGGGCAGTCTGGCCCTTCATTAGGAGGGGAACAGGTAAAAGGAACAAAGATTTGGGAACATGGAACACCTAACCCGCTGTAAATGCCTCAAACTCAGTGAAACTGGAATTACCATTTATAATGAGGGCCCACTAATTCCTGTCACTAAGTAACAAACATTAATTAGGAATTTCAAAGTTCCTACAAGCACGAGGCTGGCATGGTTGTCCGTTAGGCGTGCCGGCCCTTACCCACTCTGGGACCCTCCTCATATGGGCCTTGGTCTGGCTACATTTCACAGACACCCGAGGCCGATGGCTTCTCCCACTCTGCTATCCTAGGTGAGCTTCTAGTGTCTCCCTCTTAAGTCTTGTAAAACACAAACGTTCTGTCAAGATTGATTGCTGAAGAAATTAAGAGACAGTGCACTGGGCAGAGGGGAAAAACAGCCAATGTCCACTAGGTGGCGCTGCAGATCATGTGCAGAGAGCATGCAGGCGGATCTGGGAGAGACGTTCCTCCTTGCAGAGCCATCGAGTGGACCAGAGCTTCAGTCCCTGGTGCAAGGACAGGAGCCCTGCGTTAAGAGTTGAGAACACGTGGGCCCCAAACCTGATTTTGTTTCTAACCACTAAGTGATTAAGCAGAACACTGAACGTTTCTGCAACTAAGTTTTCTTATCTGTAATATGGAGGAAGGCAGCCTTCATTTACGGAGGGTTCACTACATGTAGGTGCTTCTGGGAACCACCACCCCCAACCCTGTGAGATTAGGGTTATTGTTCCCATTTTATAGATGAGGAAACTGAGGTTCAGCAACACTGAGTAACTTCCTCAGAATCACACAGCTTGTTGTCTGGGTGTGGCGGGTGGTTAAGAATTGAATCAAGGTTTGCATTCTCTTATCTGCGTCTCACTCCCCAGCCAGTCCAGGCTACACGTGCAAGCATAGAGCTGGCTCTTCACCCGGGGTCCACGGAGGCAGAATGGCCTTTCAGTATAGATGGCTTACTTTGTCATCCTATGCACTTTAATGCATTGGAAAAGCATTATTCTGAGAAGGGTCGACTGTACAAAAACAGTTAAGAATCCCTGGTTAAAAGAGATCTTAAAGTGTGTCTGGTACTCTGTCTTCATTTTACAGATGAGGAAACTGAGGCCAGAGTGGGGAAGTGACTCCCCGGCCTTGTAGCCTACCACACCCCACCACAGCGTGCGCTCACAGCAGAGCCGCTGCCTTAGGGGGCATGAGACAACGAACAGATAATTCAGAAAAAGGGAGTGGATTTGGAGCCATCCGTAGAAACCACCACACCTAGAGGGGGGCAAGTGTGAAAGTCGCAGACAGAGACAGTCAGCCCCCTGGCAGGAGGCCCAAGGATACTCCATGCACTTCAAGTTTCAGTCCTTTAAAACATCAGCCCTGGAGCCAGAGCAGGGCTGCGTTGGTTCACACACACGCACGCACACACGCACACACACACGATATACATGTCGTCACACAGGCTCTAACAACAGGCTGAACAGTCCCAGCAGCCAGGCAGAGGTGGAAAGGGCCCGGGAGCTTTGGACGAGACAGTGAATGGACTTACACATTATCCCTCTGGATTGGGAGCAGGGCTTATCTCTTCTGTCCAGTAATTCCGGCTATAATCCTCTTACTATCCTACGCGTGTCCAGGGTGGAAATGATGCTGCTGACTGTAAACGGAGGACCTTCCTGAAATAACTGCACACGACATTTCCACATGAAACGCGTAGAGTGTTCCCCAGGCTTGCTTCAGTAGTAAAAATAATCTGACCACTCCTCAGGGTCCCTCCAGGACCGAGGGAGTCGGGACCGCTGAGGATGGGTTTTTAGGTCAGGCATCCTCTCTACTTAGAAGGATATGGGAAGACTTTTGTTTCCTAATAAACGTAAGGGCTTTGCTGTTAAAAATGGTAAGGACTTAGGACCCTAAATTTTTTTACTAATTGCCCGGTGAGAATAATGAGAATTAATTACAGCCCACACAATTTCATCCCAGCCCAAGATCCAGTAGAGTTAGTGGGAACTCACAGCAGGATTGAGCACAAAGCAAACTCCGAGGAGTGGGACAAGCGGGAAGGGGTGAGGATTAACTGCATCCCAGGCACTGAGAGAGAGCGTCCATCTGACAGCCACTTTGGTACCTGAAGCTTAGGACATTTCTCAGGGAATTTCTCCAGGGAAATTGCTAAAAATTAAAGGTTCAAGGGTAAATAAGGGTGCACTACAAAAGGCGGCTGGAACCTACCATAGACAGTCTAGGGCAGGTGACCCCTAAGCTTGTAAATATCCAGGCAGACAGCATCATGTAGCCCATGTAGCAAGATGCCAGCCCTGACCTGGAGTCCCAAGGTGATGCTCGGGGCCCTGGGAGGCGGATGGGAAAAGATGAAGCAGGGCCGTCTTACAGAGGACAGGACAGCAGGCAGTCTGGATCTCAGGGGGGCGGGCTCAGGAGTGTGGGCTCAGACACCCAGTTGCGGAGGGACCAGTGAAGGAAGAGAGCACAGAGGTGAGAACCGGGGCCCTGGGCCTGGCTCACACTAGCAGCCCTGTGACTTTGCCAGTGCCTGGGCAAAAAACAGGGCTTCCTATCTCCTGACTCTGATGAGAAGGGGCAGCCAGAAGTGGGATCAGGGCAGAGTCTGCAACAAAGATCAAGCGACCCACCTCTGAGCAGGGAGACGGAATTCCTACACGTCAGGGGCCCTGTCGTCAGGATCTCCGGTGAGAGAGATTCCCACTCCATGAAGGGTACATGAGGGTGAGGGGGAATTCACCCATCTGGGAACCCCTGATCATGAGGTGCAGGTCTGCAGTCTGCCCTGGGCACCTCTGGGCCCATCTCTGAGAAACAGCTCAAGGTGGTCTGGAGCAGAAGGGCAGAGGAGGGAGTTGAGACCTGGCCTGAGACCGGCTTGTGGGATACGACTGGGAAATGGAGCAGTGCCAGACAGTGTAGAGCGGACATGCTGGCTTCAGGTTTGGTGGCCTCAGTCACATTTCTAGAAATAGTAGCAAATAGTAGCAAAAGGCTGATCAGGTGTGTATATGGGGGGTGGGGAATGATGAAGAATTCCAGGGGCTGCCATTGCTCGGGATCCAGGCAGCCCAGTGTGTGAGGCTGGATGCAAAGGGCTCACTCAGACCTAGGAGGGGAGGGATGGTGACGGGGGAGAAGCCAGTCCCTGGATTTCGGATCAGGGTGGGAGAGGGGTTTAGTACTAGGTAAGGCGGTAGATCTGAACTAAGTAGCAAGACAAGAAGCAGAGGACAGTAGGACAGACAGAGACTCCTTGTGCACATAAGATGAGAAAGCCAAGCACCTGGTCCTTGTCTGACTGACAGCAAGGAGGCTGGGCGGTCCCGCGGGAGCGCACGGGCAGGTCTGCACCCAGCTGGGCCAGCACATCCAGTGGGATGTGATTCCAGCATGAGACTGGAGAAGGCAGAGGGAGGGAAGACAACACATCAGGACACACAGGTTCTTAACGCTGACCGTTTCCTGGGCTTCTCTGTGGGGAGGCAGTCGTAGATGCAAGGCTGTCTTTTCTCTGCTGAGAGAAACTTATATTTCCTGACAGAATCATTAGGCAATTTCCATTCCTTTTCTACCTCATCGGTTCAGCTGTCTGAGGCTCATTTACCTTAACATGTACCTGGCCCCTCTGTCGTGGGGCATCTTTCTTCTCACATCTCTTCCTCCCTGTAGCTCTGCCAAGAGGAAAGAAAATCCAGACTCGCCAATAAATGCAGCCTCCCATGGCGACACAGCAAAAGAGAAAGAGACGAGAAAAGCGCATGGATGAGTTGCTTTAGACTCACTAGATTAGCTGTTAGAGGCCCCGGGCACCGACACCAGAGGTTATCTTCATGGTTATATTCAAATTCCTGTCTGAGTAGCAGAACCTGGCGTCGCTCTTTCCTCTCCATCAAATTCCATCACCCAAGGGGGAAATTTTACATTCAGCCTTTGATGGCCGGGTCTTCATCCTCTTCCTG